TGCGGGCGCGGCGGCAAGCCCGCCGTCGGAACATCTTGCCCTCTTTTCCCCTCAGCGGTCTCCCTCAAAGAAGTCAAAGAAACAGAAGAAGCACTTCCGTGATGCAGTTGCTTCAGTTGGTAGCCACCCTCGCCTGGCTTCCTCCTCCTCTACCTGCACTCTTACCGAACCTCTTCTTGATGCAGAACCGGAGATGGCCACGAACTTCCTCTCCTCTGTGGTGGATGATTCCACAGATCCCAGCCAGCCATCTTCTCGGAGGCCTTCAGGATCACATCAGCTGATTTTGCCGCCCTCCGAGTCTGCGTTAACCCTACTGACCGAGGTTGCCTCACCCAGTGATGACTTGACGGACAGCAAAAAAGAGCCACATGAGGAAGCCTTTAGTGCCTTGGACTGGTAGCGAGATCTGAAAACCGATCGAAAAGCCTTGCCTTATTATGCCTTATATTTTGTGGCTAGTGTTCGCGCTTAACGTCTGTCACGGTAACTAGAGGACCACTTATTTTTTAACTTACCCCCTATACCCCCCACTTTCCGAGATCCACATATATCTTCTGTTTTATGGGCTTATCATGCTGGTTGTTGTATATGCTTCTTACTTCATCTATCTTTGTCCTGAATACTTTTTCTTTCGCTGTTTTATCCCTGTTTACTTATTTATTAGTATTTTGGACAAACCGGCCAACTGTTATGACCGGATGGATTGCGGATGGTCATCTATTCTCGAAGCCCGCCATTGGGTTCCTTCTATCTATCGCTCGCTTATTGTCGCCCTCCATAGACAGAAGATCTATGAGCAGCGCTAACCTAATTGGCAGTCTGTTAGGTAAAAAAGCATTATAATCAGTCAGTATTATGAGTAATTGGGTGCAACAGGGAGGTCTTCGATTTTAGAAAAAAAAAACTATTCCGGCTTTGCGGCAGACATGAATAAAACTACGAAAAATGCAGAAGAGCAATTGGTGGGCATACGTAGGCTTTCGATAAATTCTCATCGCGCCATCACATTTATGTGGGCACGGAGTAAAAGTTAAACAAACGCTCAATAATCTTCGTCTTATCATAGGAATGAGTCGTGGTAATAGGAAATTGGGGTCGATAATAGGCGGCTGGTTAAGCGGCGAGGGTGAGGGTTTGTTGAAAGCGA